AACAAACGTCCAAATCTGCTGCCAAATTTAACAGCTAGAAAATCGACCTATTATTTGCCGCATTCCCATTCGCTGAGGGGGATAACGGATTGTTAAATGTAAACCCATAACATATATCAAAATACACGAAAGTTGTCCTGTTTTTTCTGTACAAAAGCATCATGTTGGAATAAAAAAGTGGTCTTGTTTATAATACAGTCGAATTTTCACGATTTTATTCAATATTTCAAAAGAAATCACTAATATTCAGAGACCTTCGACAGCTTCCGACAAATTGCATTTCGATAAGGTATTTTCCCATTGGTCCATATTATTAATGTTGGGGAAAAAGGCCCTAAGCCTGTTTATCGCAACGGAATGTACAATCTGAGATTGAAACACATATTTGGCACATTGTCCTAAATATGGCTGAATAAATAAGCTTCAAAAGTTCCGTCACGTCAGCAGTGACTTGCCTATACCAAGAGCTTAATTGGAAAATAGAAATATTCTAACAATGGTTGTAAGTCACTAAGCGCCTTGCACTTGAGTATTACAGTTGATAACCATAATGCCATAAGCTCGTCACATATATCACAATTGAAACTGAGGAGTTCGAAGCACGTCACCTGCCCTGCGTCTGTTGCATGTTGCCGGTGATTCACAAACAGCGGGCATAGTCCTGCTTAGTGCACTGTTCATATGTTCATATAAACAGTTCCACTGTTTTGATTAAAATGTTCCATTATCTGAAATACACCAGCTCTACATGAACTAAATTACCTGAACAAACTAAACAGTTCAATAGAATAGGTACATAGTTTGCTATTGTCAAGCAGAGTAGTTTAATAGTTAATGTAACGTCTGAAACTTATTTTGTGGTTTACATGATAATGCCCCATGCTTGACTTTCCATTAAAACCACATGTATCGACAGATCTTCTTACTGGAATAAACGTTTCATCACAAAGGTGGTTTTATTCAGTACAATGACAATATTTGATTTATCTGTCTTCCTCATGCTCGCTTATCGTTTTTGGGGGGTGGACGTCCTTTTATGGAAACCGGGAATGCCTACCCCAGGCGGTCCTCGGGTATGCTGGTTTGGCACTACACACTGTTCAGAAAAGTGATAATGAAAAAACAAAGGAACTGTCTCCTGGAAGATATACTTTGAAGTTGAGTCATTAATTTTCAGATAATGATTGTAGAAGGAAGATAAACCAAAATATGTGTGTAAAAATTAAAAAAAAAAATTTAAAAAAATGTTACCTTGTTTTATAAAATATCCTCCCGACAAGTATTTCAGTGCGGACCTGTATTTGATCGTGCGGTCTTGGAGCACCGGCATGCCCTCCCCTGTGAGGTCTTAAGTCACCTGATTCACGAGCCCTTTGTACTACATTAACAAAGGCACGAGGGGTTGGTTGCACTCGATTGGGAAACCAATCCGCATAAATCCGTGTTACCGTAGCAGCATTTTGTAAAATAAGAATCATGTCCACAAGTTCAGCATTTGCGTAAACATGTGCCTTTTTTTATTTCGTTTGAGCCACGCAGGAACACCACTCACGCGTTACCGACTGACACATCGAATGAATACAACTGAATAAAATAAATGAATAAAACATCGTGATAAGCGTTTCAAATTCTTTCGCTTTTTTGTTTCCGATTATATCCGTTGTTGCCAAACACGAGCACATATTATTATTGAGACAGGGCGATACTCAAACTTCTAAAGGGCTATAACTTTGTTACTTTAATTTTACCACAAAAATGTTAAAGGAAAAAAACATTTCTTTTGATCAGATCTACTCACTGTTAAAATAAATGACTCAACTTCGAAGTCACCCTGTATAAATCAAATTCTCATTGTACTGAAGATCACCTTTGTGATTGAAACGTATAACACAGTAAAGAAGATTTGTCAATACCTGTGGTTATATTGGGCAGACAAGCATGTGGGAGTAGTTTAATAGCATATTACTTCCAACTAAACTGACAACTCATTTAATTAAACCAAAGATTACAGATTTAAATTGAATTTCCGAAAACGGGATAATCTTGGATATAAATAATAATATATTATTAGAAAAAAACAAATTACAGATAATGCATATATTATTATCTATAATTAAATTAGTGAGCAGCTTAATGGCGAAGTTTAGCTATGACAGCTATTCTTACACTTAACCATTTACTGCATAAGAATAATAGATGGTAAATAAGTACAGCTGTGACGAAAATAAAAGGAGGGAAATGCCCATGTAACTGATCACAACCTAAACAAAAATTAGCTTAAAAATATAATGCTGGAGAAAAACACCTTTAAGAAGCACCATTGAGCAGAAGAGCTTTTATGTGTTTTTTAAAACTATACAGCGGCAGGCTTTTTGTTCTGTAATCTAAGCTATTGTACAACATGCATGCATTATATGAGAAGGACCTGTTAAGAACAGATGAACTATGAAGTGGCATTGTTAAAGCGAATGTGTTACGCATATGTCGTTGATGAACATTATACCTAAAAATTAGTTTTTCACGTAAATAAATTGGAATACCAGTGACAAGCAACTTACGTATAAAGGTTAGGTAATTGCATTTTACTAAATCTGTCATCTTTAACCAACCTATTAAAGGATAACGATCCGAAACATGATCAAATTTTCTTAAACTAAATATAAATCGTACGCAGTTATTTTGTACTACAGATATTCTGTTACGACTTGGAACATCCAAACAAGGATGATAAACTAGATTGCAATAATTAAAAATTGATAACACAAAAGATTCACACAAATTTTTTCGCACTTTAAAATTCAGCAAATTTTTGTTCGCATACAGAGTTCTCAGACGGATGTAACTTCTTTGTAAGAGGTTATCTAAATGTCCACGGAGCCGCACGTTTTCATCAATTAACACACCTAGACACTTGACACTTTCAGAAAAAGGAAGATTTTGATTGTTAATAGACATACTCAAGGGAGCTTTGACTTCGGCTCTTCTGTGATTTGGACAAACCAGCACAGCAGAAGATTTAGAAGCATTAACGGTTAGGCTGTTATTGGCTGAGTAGGTGCAAATAAATGCCAAAATTTCAAAATTTGGGCTTGTCGAAAGCAATCAAGACCTGAAATAAAAAAAATGTTGTTGAAAGCTTGAGTTTATGTTCGAAGCTGTTTGAATGTGAACATTTCATAGACGAGATCAATTTGAAATTTGAATTGTTTTTAGGTCCTAAAACCCCGCTTATATGTGCAAAAGTAATATTGTCATATTAATTTTTCTCGACATAGATAGCCTGATAAGATACCTAGAGTCCATCCTAATCATAGGGTACAACAGATTGGGGTTAAGTTATTTTCAAAAATAGTTAGGAAATAATAGAACCAAGACAATAGGTAGAAGTAAAATAGATTTTTGAGGCCACGGTCTCCTGCTCTACTTGTAGTGTATTTAGATTATACTCAAATTAGTATGGAAAGGAATGGTGTGAACAGTAATAATAATGATAATAATAACAATATTATTAATGATATCTTTATTGGTTCTGTAGGATCAGGTTACATAATATCAAACAGTCTTCAAAAATACTTAAATAAAAACAATATACATATGAAATATACTCGTGGACAAAGAAATACTATACGGTAAATAAGAATTGACTAGGTTAAAATATATAAATAAATCAATAAATAATATACCAAAATCATGAATAGTAGGCTCACAGTTGAGAATGTATAAGTGACTAATACTGATATCAGAGTTAAAACAGTATTGCCAAGTTAAGCATACTGACCGATTGAGTAATATCCGTCAATGTAAACTACAGTAAAGTTGTAAGAAATTCCGAATTCTATAGGATACTGAAGCCTATAATAGTCAGTACATATCTTTCCTTGATATCGGCAATGCTTTCAAGAACTATTATGTAGTTGGTGTAAGCATTGACCCGCTAATTTTGAGAAGATTTACCTTTGTAAGCTGATATTCTTTACTAAAGACTTATCACAAGAGCAAATAACACAGCATCCAACTTTTGTTCTGACTTCCGTCAAGTATAAATAAATTCGTCAGAAGACAATGGTAATTTAGAGAAAATGCTTGTACCTGATCGAATAGTTTTAAAAATCGATTGTTTACTACTTGTTCGCAGAATTCTGAGTAGGATGAAAGCTAGTGAATTGTAAACTTACGATGACTGAAAGTGGAATAAAATTATTCCAACGCATACTTGCTAATTTCGTTGCTGGTAGAGAATACAAATTTATTTGGTGTTTCGTAAACGTGAACGTTGTGAGGTTATTCATAATTTAGCGTACTACTATGTTAATATACCGTCCAAGCGACTAAAAAAACTATTGAAGAAATGGATGTGAATCTTGATATAAAAATCTAAGAACAAATCCCTTTGAGTGCCTATCAGGTCCAATCAAATTCAAATAGTAGACGTTCATGAATATCTGCAGTTTCAAGCTTACGCCAAATCATCACAGGAACTGATAAGGATGTGTCAGTCGCAGAAACTTGCTATTAGTAAAAGGACCCCCATCGCTTTGGTTTCTTAACACGTTATGGCTGAATGATTATCCTTCTTCCTTTGCCTCTTCATATACCTTTGATCGCAATATCTGTTGGAAAAGATCTAGCATCTGCATGTAGCCACATAGGCACAATGTTGCTTAGTGATGAGCTCCGACACTTGCTAAAACTTGGGTAGTACCTACTTAACCGATCTCAATAGAACTATTAGTAGTAGGACAAGGAGGATCTCAGAATTTGTAGTTTTTGAAAATTGAGCAAGGGGCTAGAGCGACGCAGAGTATGTAATCGAATCTGAAAAATGCTTATACATTTCACTTAGGTATCTTAGAGATCATTCACCATCACGTTTTCGATGGGATCTCTTTTGTCTGGGACACAAAGGTAACTCTTGACGATTAAAACAAAGTAACAACATATTAATAAAGATCATTTATTCACAATAAATAAAAATAAATAAAATAAATATTCAAATCACAGTCCTATCTATATGGCGCGTACGCACTGTACGCCAACTGTTGGGTCAAGTCGGTCCTATCTGTGTGGAGGTGATGCGGGTCCCAAGCGGCGTGTACGATCTGGGGCTGCTGGTCGCTGTTGACCTTGGAGCAGAATTTCCAAATGGCTAAAGCTCCAGCAGATACAAAAGAAATGAATGCTAGTTGCATGGCATTAAAAGCCTTAAAGCCGAGCAGACCCAGGGCTAGGGGGATCAGGACCATTGCTTTGATGATGACGAAAATAGCAATGGGCATCAGCGCTTTCTTGATCTTGTGCTTGGTCCTCCTACGTGCTGAAAATAGACATATGTGATCAAACATGAGTAATTAAGGCTATCAGAGAATGTGTATTATTTACATTGACAAGCAGTTTACTATTTTCACTACTATCTGGTCTATTATTTATCGCAATGTCCCGCTAAGAGGTAACGTTTCTCGCCCGAGGAGAAAGAAACACCTAGAATGATATTAATACAATTCGATACATTTGAAAATAAGTGAGAAATAACTAATATTAGGTATACTACTGAATTACTTCGCAGCCTAGATATGTAATGAAAGACTGTAGTATAATAGACGCGAGAAAGTACATTTAAAGACAGTTAAGCCTCGACTTATAATTAACAGCTACAGAAGTTTCGGCGTGTCTAAAGTTCCTTAAATATACTATGTTCTTTGGCCAGGATGTATAAATGACATTTAAAAAAATATATGTATATAAACGGCTATAATGGAAGTTAATATAAGTTTATATCTAGTGAGGTAGAAATACAACTTTAATGGTGGCCTTTTTAAGTACAATTCTCTAAAAACCTTGTACAATGAAGAGGAATTTTAAGCATATATGTGGTATGATTCGTCCAGATAAACATGGCATGAAAACCACGGGATAAACTTCAGAGGTTGCACTATAGAAATAATTTAATTGAATGAATAATTTCGTAATGTAATAATACTTCTTCTCCAACAGAAAGAGATTTAAGTTATTGAATATCAAAAACTGTCAGGTTTTGGCTAGTATATCGCATCTTAAATGTGCTGAAACTCTTAGGTTTGATCCATACATTCAGTAATACAGGTATATAGGTCCAGGTTGTAAAAGCAGCTACCTTGAAAATATTATAACCAAATTCTTCTGCCAAATATACCATGTTTCTAAATCGTCAAAACACATTTCTAAAAGTCAACCTGTGGCGGCACTAGGAATCAGCTTATTTCAGCATACTTTTGTACCCTGGACTAATTCAAAATTCTTGGAGGGTAAACAAAACCAGAGGACAATGCTGGATAAGTAAAACCATTCAAGATTGAAGCGATATGTCTTTGAGGTTTTAAATGAATGAATGAATATAAACACAGCAGTTCTCCACGAGCAAGTCTTCTGAATAAACGAATGGTCATGGTTTGCAGATATTGCAGGGAAATTCACAATATGTAGCATGTCGGTCACAATGAGCTTTGTTATACAACAAATACAATTTGGTATGCATGAACAAAATTAATAAAGGAATTCAGTCACTCTACACATCAAGCTAAGTACATTGGCCATGTTTACACCGCGGGTAGCTAACCACAGGTTGTGCTAGTCCGTGCGTTAGCATTGCTCTGTTCTAAGATATGTCACAACACTAGTTCATCTACAACGTGTGATGTGCGCTATACAAGTGGTCACGGTATAAGCACTATAAACACGGTCATTGATGTTCTGTTAAGGATTTAGATTTAAGTTTTTTAGGCGCGGATCTTAACAGCGCGTCTAGGTGCTCTAGTTTGGCACTAGCAAGTGATCAATTTGAATTTGTGTACTACTCTTGTTACAATGATGGTCTTGTTGTATTGTTCTACTGTTATTGTCATTGTTTTATTTACTTAACTTTTACAATGTCCTGAAAACAAAACTGCTCCTCTTCATTTTTTCTGCCAGACTCTTTTAAAAAAATGAAAAGTTGTACAAAAATACTAAGCATACCAATGAACCATAATTTATGTGCAAAAAAGTTTTAAAAGGTGCTACGATATCACCACGGGCAATTGTCTTCTAAATAGATGCTATAAATTTCATTAAAAACTATTGAAGAATGCAGCGTCAGTGATGAGGCAGCTAAACCCTTGTAAATGGTTAAAACTCACTAGGTCCTAGCGCACCTAAATGTGCTAGTGTTGTACTATCCCTGAAAAAGGCGCGGTGTTAACTCATGGAACACCATGGTGCTCTGTTTAGTTAAGCATGGTCTAAACATACCCTGTAGTCAACAGATTACAGTAATGTAGGACATGCCCAGACCTCGCTATAAAGACGCGAAAGACATGACTCCGTTGGACTATTGCTACCTTATAAACCCAAACGGCTAAAATTATTGTGATTTTACCATTGTACGCACGTATCAAAAGCATCGGATGTATTACTTTTGCTTATTATTTTTTTTGAGGCGGGGTAAATAGTTATTAGACACACGCATGCCACAGGAAGCCACCATCCCCGAGTGTAATTATTATTACCTGGTCTAGTTTTAGTTTTGATTTTACAAAGTACGTTTTGTGTGATGTTCTGTAGGCGATCAGATTGCTGTGTTAAACTTTGTGTGCAGTTACCTTCTCCGACATCTCCCGATCCAAAATTAAGTTTCAAGCTCACTTCGTCGTTGTCCAAATTTCTAGCATCTACTGTTGCTATTGAGCCGATAAGTGGCATATCCACTGACATGTCATTGCTTTTGATGTAGTTGATCACTTCATTTTGGATGTCTTCTACCATCTGAAATAACGAAAGCGGTTAGCGGAAAAATCTTACGAATGAGTGATATCTGAAATTAAGAACTTTATCATTTGTTCACCAATAGCTGTTTCAATAGGAACAAGGTGAAGCCTTCCACAATTTATGTATGTTTATAACCGAATCCACAAGTTTTGTCAAATAACATAGAATATGAAAACGGAGCCTTTTGAATCTCGGATTGCGTTTTAACGAAATTAGTTTTAGAAAATGACAATGACAAATCGTTTTCTCTTTGTAGATCCTTTGGGCTTGAAACACCACAGCAAGTGGATATAACCGGCCGCGTGGTTGTGGTCAGATGTCGCCTTGAAAATTCGAGGTCTTCTAGTCATTTTATACTACAATCTGTAGGTTGGCTCTTGCTGTGGACTTCGTGTGTGATTTTTCCCCTCTCCATCTTCGTTTCCTCAGGCTACACCCGTATCGGGATGTATGGGCATATGTATCTACCTTTGTAGTTACATATGTGCATTCATTTCGGGCCTGATGAAGCCAACCAGCAGAAATACGTATCGCTCGGGTTACCTATCCTATTTTCTGCTCGAATCCACCTTCCTTCTTTTCGCGGATGTTGCCCATTATTTTCCTATTTCGTAAGTCGACGTCAAGCCGAAACCGGGTGATAGGCAAAGTCATAACAGCTATCAGAAGAATATTTAAAAAAAATTATGTATGTGTTTTGAAAATTATAGGTCTTTGAAAAAAATATAGAAATTTCACACCCTACGGCAGTCTGTCAACTCCTGTTACTACAAATATTAACTTTTTTTGGATTTTATTTTTACAATGTAATGACGAATAATGCATCTTCAAACTGGTGTCTCAACCTTACTGCCAACTTTTCTCGTTCAGGAAAAATTGCCACTTATTTCCCAACCAAGTATTTCTAAGTAAAACTTTGCTCAACTTTAACTAGCTGTACTGGAAAAAATGTACTACGAGAGTTTGGCAAGTAACCTTAAAAGTTGACGCATTTAATAACGATTCCAAAATGGTATAACACTTAGAAGATCACTCGTTAACTTATGCACAATTTTTATTTGAAAAAAAACTGATGAAAATTTTTCAAAATTTCCTAATTAAACAGCGATTATGAAAACGCACAAGGACCCTTAAGGATAACTGTTTGCACAACAGCGGGCATCAAAATGCTGCTGATGATGATTTACCTTTACAGCAAATGCTCAAACTGTTTTCCTTCAGCCGCAATACACGCTCGACATCTTCTTAAAAAAGATCGGGTTATTAAACGAGCGAATCCACGGTTATTAACAAACTCAGCTGCTTCCAATAGTCTTTGCCGTAGCTCAGCTACATTTTGAATCAGCTTGAAATACACTTTTTCTTTTACAGTTCCCCAGTAAAAAAATCTAAAGGATTCAAATCAGGTGATCGGGCTGGCCACGGTATTGTACCAGACCGCCCTATCCATCTGCCTGGAAAGTTTTGATCGACATACTCTCTCACTGAGAGTGCATAGTGCGCTGGGCAGCCATCATGCTGAAACCACATGTCCCTGTAAATACTCAGTGGCACGTCCACCAATAAATTTTGTACATGATTTTTCAAAAAATCCAAATAAACTTCAGCAGTCAAAGTTTCTGGGAACTCAAACGGACCGATTATTTTACCATTTAAAATTCCTGTCCAATGTTTTATCTTGAAGTGATATTGAGATTTATCTTCTCTCATCAAATGTGAGTTTGCTACGTGCCACTCGTGTAAGTGATGCAGGTTCATGTACCCATCTTTCTTAAGTGTGGTCTCATCCGACCATAAATTTTTTTCAAAGAACTGTGGATCTTTCCTGTGTCTTTCTAACATTGTGCGACAAAAAGCAACTCGGGGCTCATAATCCCGGGGCAGGAGAGGTTGAACACGCTGTATGTGGTATGGATGAAGCACATCACTTACTTGCTATTGCACACTTTGATACCGATCAGTACTCCTTCGTTTACTGCGCATCTTCACATGTTCGTGCTTGTTGATTTCGTACTGTTACTAATTTTGGATTCGTGAACTGGACTGTCGATCGCTTGTGATTTGGATTTGGACTGTTTAATTGCTCTTCAAAACAACATTTGCTTTCCTTAGACTATCTTTGATAGTGTGATTGTGCAGTGCCGCTATGTCCGTGTACACCGTACAAGAATATGCTAACATGCACCTCATTTATGGGGAATGCAGATGCAACGCTAGTGCTGCAGCGAGACTTTACTGTGAGAGGTACCCGAATGCAGCTCGTCATCCAGATCATCGAGTGTTCACAAATGTGCACCGCTTACTGTTCTCAGAGGGCCAACTACCAAACCAATCACACGGTGAGGGAAGATCTTTCCTTCCTTACGAAGACGTGGTGCTAGGAGCTGTCGAAGAAGACCCGAGTACTTCAATGCGTGCAATAGAACTAAAAACAGATGTGCCCAAAAGTACAGCCCATAGAATCTTGCAAAAAAACGTGCTCCATCCATACCACGTACAGCTTGTTCAAGCTCTTCTGCCCCGGGATTATGAGCCCCGAGTTGCTTTTTGTCGCACAATGTTAGAAAGACACAGGGAGGATCCACGGTTCTTTGAAAAAATTTTATGGTCAGATGAGACCACATTTAAGAAAGATGGGTACATGAACCTGCATAACTTGTGGCATGAAGCAAACCCACATTTGATGAGAGAAGATAAATCTCAATATCGCTTCAAGATAAACCATTGGACAGGAATTTTAAATGGTAAAATAATCGGTCCGTTTGAGCATGATGGCTGCCCAGCGCACTATGCACTCTCAGTGAGAGAGTATCTCGATCAAAACTTTCCAGGGAGATGGATAGGGCGGTCTGGCACAATACCGTGGCGAGCCCGGTCACCAGATTTGAATCCGTTAGATTTCTTTTACTGGGGAACTGTAAAAGAAACAGTGTATTTCAAGCCGATTCAAAATGTAGCTGAGCTACGGCAAAGACTATTGGAAGCAGCTGAGTTTGTTAATGACCGTGGATTCGCTCGTTTAATAACCCGATCTTTTTTAAGATGTCGAGGGTGTATTGCGGCTGAAGGAAAACAGTTTGAGCATTTGCTGTAAAGGTAGATAATCATCAGCAGCATTTTGACGCCCACTGTTGTGCAAACAGTTATCCTTAAGGGTCCTTGTGCGTTTTCATAATCGCTGTTTAATTAGGAAATTTTGAAAAATTTTCATCAGTTTTTTTTCAAATGAAAATTGTGCATAAGTTAACAAGTAATCCTCTAAGTGTTATACCATTTTGGAATCGCTATTAAATGCGCCAACTTTTAAGGTTACTTGCCAAACTCTCGTAGTACATTTTTTTCCAGTACAGCTAGTTAAAGTTGAGCAAAGTTTTACTTTGAAATACTTGGTTGGGAAATAAGTGGCAATTTTTCCTGAACGAGAAAAGTTGGCAGTAAGGTTGAGACACCAGTTTGAAGATGCATTATTCATCATTACATTGTAAAAATAAAATCCAAAAAAAAGTTAATATTTGTAGTAACAGGAGTTGACAGACTGCCGTAGGGTGTGAAATTTCTATATTTTTTTCATAGACCTATAATTTTCAAAACACACACATAAAATTTTTTTAAATATTTTTCTGATAGCTGTTATGACTTTGCCTATGACCCGGTTTCGGCTTGACGTCGACTCCTGGGACACCCTGTATATATATTTATATACGTGAGGGAGATGGATGAATGAAAGTGATTCATGTTGTTTTACTGTGACCAGACCAATATCGTGAAAAAACCTGTAGTTTGGCTTTTGATACGTCATACAATCAATATTTACTCTCATCCACAACATCAATATTTACTAATCATTTCGTCAGTATCAGTGGTTTTGCTCGTAACCTTGTACAGCAGAAATAACTAACGTAATAATATATACTAGTACATACTGATGGGTCACAGAAAATTGTCAGTGAAGTACTATGAATAGTAAGTCATTTTTGACCTGTTTTAAAAGTTTGATAGCATTCGAAGAAGATAGCGCACATTTGACACGTCAGACAGGAGATAGGCCGATAGCGTCACTTTTTAATGCAACTATTTGTATACGTTAATGGTTGCTAAGGCTTTCATCTTAGATCTATGTAAAATAATTGTTTGTAGATAAAGATATTTTGTAAGATCCGAACTGTCTCTAGAAACTGGTTGCTTGTAGTGAAGGACCCACTCTAGTAAGTTTTATTTCAGATGTTGATAACATATAGTACATGATATTCAAACAAGAAACGGAAGACTAGATTTTAGGATACTCAAAAAGTCTATTCTCTTCTTTTTTACAACTTAATCTTGATAAGCATTGAAAATAATTCTGTATAGCGTTGTCAACTTCGTAGAGTAACAGTTTTCGAGATATAATAAGTTATTGGAAATATTTGGTCATAGCCGAAATGCCCCATTGAGGCTTGTACTATTTTACAGTTGGCCATGGTGGAATCAGATAAAGTACTAAGGATACAACGCTGTTTCCGAGCCATGGCCAGCTGTTGATGAAGCCGTATATTTTGACTTTATGGGCCATCCAAAATCTAGTTTTCATTTGCTTCGTTGGCCAACCTGTAATTTTTGTTACCCAAATCCGAAACAAAACCTACTAAAGTAGATTCCCTACTGCAAAAAACCCGTTGCAAATCGTATGGTAAAGGCAAAAATGCGAGAAAGACATATTTTAAGTAATTAGCGTTTGTTTGTCATCTTTTAAGTAAACTTTGGTACCTCAGAATCGGTTGGAAATAGAATCATACGTTAGAATGTCGTGTGAATAGCCATAAAACTGAATAATATAGCGGGCGTTCCGTTTGAAATGGTATGGTATGTTCTTCCGGTACAACCAGACGTGTTAGCATTTTGCAAAGATTTTTCCTGGACTTCTCTCATCACTTATATTGTAAACTCAAACGATCATAACTGCTGTATGTCAAGTGCATGATTGTTCGATCGCTACAGTTCTACGAGTGACACTCTGATGTTAGTAATCAGTCAATTCTACATAATATGATCAAAAATTACCAAATAAGGACCCAGAAGAATCATCCTTCATTGCGTGGGAAGGGAAAAAGGAAAGACGGAAGAGAAGGACGGAAGAGTATGGTTGATTTATGAAACTGGTTTCAGCTAGGGCGATGCAAGTTTAAAAGGCATCGCGATATGGATATCTTTCAGGACTTTGAATAAGCTTACAGCCCAACTTGAATATGCTCATTATTATTAAGTTTTATGATAAATAATTTAATAAATACCTCATTGAAACTTCTCGGCAGCACTGCGTTCTCCTCTTTGGCCGCGGGCAAGGCCACGGCCACAGCGGTCACGGCCACCGCACACACCAGGCACAACACCCATTGACTCATTTTCGCATCAATTAACGGTCAAATGGTGCGTCTACACCCACGCCTATCAATTTATATACAGTAGGCGTGGCCATAACGGAAACCATTGCCCGCCAATAGGGGATAAAATTTGGAAAGCTTCCGTCAGACGTGCGTATATGGATTGTAGGATAATAGCTGAGGTCGATTTTCTATAACTGTCTCGAGATACCAAATAATAGCTGACTAGTCAGGCTATCAATAGCATATGAGGTGAAATCCTAATATCAAATGAACGCAACTCAGTAAACACTATTATAGTATGATTTGAAGTAGAAAAGCGAAAAGTGTGCACCATCTCTAAAGCCACTTCAGTAATCCTTATCGAGTCTTTGGTCAATTCTCCATAAGAGCTCTAACTGTTCGAAGATAATAGATAATTCTGGAATAACTAATATTAACAGGAGTCATTGAACATACAAAAAATACAGATAAAGATATGCGCAGAACTACCCCAAATATGAGGTAGAAAGTATGTGAAAAATGCGTTTTATCGTTTTTCATAGATATGAGTTTGAGATAAATGGCAACCAACGCAACCTAGTAGAGACTATTGTTCATTAATTATTTTTATTGATAACCCGAAAAGTCCGGGGAGCTCCAGTGCGCATTCCCTATAAAATACATTGGTCACCCTATATTGTATAGTAAACAATTCTGCATGGAAATGCTAATAATTCAGAGATAAATAAGTAATATTTTTGTGACACCTAATAGACCTGGAGCTGTGGGCAAAAATGGGCGGGAAATGGAAACCTACTCAGAACGATAGTACTACATGAAAAAATAACTTCTAGCACTATGCCGTCACTTGAGAACTGTACATGTAAGTACATGGGAAAATTGAGTTTTCTGTCCAGAAGGGGTCGGAAAAGTCTAAATGATTTTTTACTGCTTTCTTTAGTATCCCCGATGCCAACAAAATTTTAAATGCAAAAAATTACAGAAAGGTAACTGTAACAATACCGTACGTTAATTAATTAATTTTTCTGCATAGAAAATTTCCTGAAAATTAAAGTTTTTTTATGGCTTCTCGTACTATTATTTCTGTACGGCACTAAGTGCATCGTGATTATTTTGTTGGCATCTGTGATACTAAAGAAAGCCGTAAAAAATCATTTAGACTTTTCCGACCCCTTCTGGACAGAAAACTCAATTTTCCCATGTACTTACATGTACAGCTCTCAAGTGACGGCACAGTGCTAAAAGTTATTTTTTCATGTAGTACTATCGTTCTGAGTAGGTTTCCTGCTGTAACACAAGATCCCCCCATTTTTGCCCTCATCTCCCAGTCTATAGCATTTACTGTAGTGAAGGAATAGCAAAACCTTCGGATATACACAAAACTACCCAAAAGTGGGGCAAAAACTACGTGAAAAATGCGTCCTCACGTTTTCCAAAGCCATGAGCACTCATTCAAGAACGTAAACGACTGATAATATAATATTTAGATATGGATTCCTAGAAGCTGAAAAGACTATAAAATGCACTTCACTCATATTTGCAAAAATGTTTAAGAAAAAACTTCTGTTTGGAATGTATTCTTTCTAATTACATAGAAAACGCTGATATTTCGAAAGGTTAAAAATCTATCGATATTTGCTTTCTGGAAGCTTCTCTAGCGTAAGCAATATCAAAAAATTCTATCCAATGTTTTATGGCTATTTGTTTCGTTTGCTATTTTTTGTGATCAATCGGAAAACCCTGGATAAACCAAATGTGTGAAAAATCAGCTGAAGAATCTTTTACGTCTAGTAAAGGAAGCCGTGATAAGGGATAAGGCACCAGAAAAATTTGCATTTGATTTTACATACTTCATGTAAAAACTATAGGCACTTGAAATTGTAATTGGTGATTCAAATTGAGTTTCCACATTACAAATATTTTTTTTAAACGCCACTGAATTTTTCAACGACAACGTGCCATTTCTAACGTCAAAATATAAACAAAATAGTCATGGAGCAATATACGACCGAACAAAGTGTTAAAATCATCTAAGCCTATAATGAAAACGGTCGATCAAGGAAGCATACATTTCGAGCTTTACGTGAATTTTTTTGGCGCACAAAATCGACCTTGTGAGAGTACAATTTGGAATTTGGTGCAAAAATTCGAGCAAACTGGATCCGTCGCTAACATCAAAACCTCTAGGCATGCTCGTAGAGGTCGGTCGGAACACAATATTGCTATTGTTTCCGAAAGTGTGGCCGTAAATCCAAGAACTTTGATTCGTCATCGATCGCAGCAACTGGACCTTACCTATTCCACTATAGAGCGGATTTTAACAAAAGATTTGAAGTTAGACCCATACAGAGTTCAAATAACACAGGAATTGAAGCCTAGGTCACACATCAGGAGAAACGATACAATTACTGCGCGGCAAGTTTCCAGGTCGCGTTATTTCACGTAACGGCGATATCAATTGGCCGCCGCGATCCTGTGATTTAACTCCCTTAGACTATTTTCTTTGGGGGTATCTCAAGAGCAAAGTCTTTAAGAATAACCCGAACACAATTGCGGAGCTGAAACAGGAGATCAGACGCGAAATTACCAACATAAGACCTGATTTGTGCCACAGAGTAGACGAAAATTTCTCGAAACGGGTTACGTCATGCCACATGAGCCGCGGCGGTCATTTACTTGATATCATCTTTCATGCATAATTGTAATGAACTACCCTGAAACGACAAATACTTATTTTGTTATAATTTTAAATTTCTTCTTTTTTTAAATACTTTTAATGTGGAAACCCAATTTGAATCACCCTATATATCTTTGAAGCCTGCTTCCTTCATAAACTGGAACACCTTTTTGTTGCCGAATATGGTCGTCAGAGACTAGTGATCCATACAAAGTGTAAGATGATTGCCATATAAGAAATCATAAAACATTTAACACAAAAAATTATAGCTAAAACCCATTCATCTAAACTGTATCCATCGAAGAAACAAAGTAAAATCAAACATATACACCCGTATTGCACGTGATCAAGCTATTGTGACTGATCTATCAAAAAATGTGTGTACAAGATATGTGTTGCTGTAAATTCTATCAAAAGCATAGTAAATTATCAGGAATATACCACGCCTTTCTAATCATATTTCGACATTAGGAATCAGTGCAAAAAATTCTGTATTCACCATTTCAGCAAAATGTTACTAAAACGCACACGAAAAAAACTTGTGGACCATCTCAATTGAAATTGTTCATATTTTATTATTAACTTACATATATACCCAATAATATTTACAAATCAACCTTCTATTCACAATGCAGAGCAAATTTTTTTGAGCAAATAGAAACTACAGACGTAGTAGTAGTAGTACAAAAGTTTATTACAGACTCCATAAAGTTTGTTAGTTTGATTGCTATTAAAATTTACATGAGAAATAGGAAGAAGGTCAAAATGGCACTATTATGCTTTGGAACTCCTAAATTAACCCTAATTTTGTGTAATTATAAATTTGGAATTTCCACATTAATAACTAGAAACTTACACATTGATTGCAGTCTATAATGAACTTACCTGTCTTGCCAAAAAGCCCTTTAAACTGCTAGTCTTAATGGTATCAATCGATTTATATGCTGTATTCCGAGGAGCTTGAATCATCAGAATTGTTGATGTCAATTATAAGGGGTTCAACTTGGGTGTCAATGATATTGTCCATATCCCATATTTTGGTTTCAACCTTCTCTTGGACATGGTCAATACATGTTCTCCATTTTGCTGGCGTAATTCTATCGACAGCAACATCAAACAGTTTTTTAAGGTCAGAAAACTTAAAAGTGCTGTTATTTGACGCCACGTATTGCTTGATGTCGGCTCAAATCAACTCGATAGGATTCAGTTCGCAGTGATAGGGAGGCAGCCTGAGAATCGTTTTATTTTGGTTTTTGGCCATTTCGTCAACAATTTTTAAATCATATTTATACTTATGTCGCTTAACTATATTTATCAGCTCAGCTTTGACCATTGTTTGGTCGAAGTCGATCTTCTTTGAGACAAGCCACTGTTGAATGTCTGCCTTTTTGGTGGCCATTGTTGGAATTTTTTCCAATTTTCTGGAGTGGTACGGGGCATTATCCATCACAATAATTGCGTTATCATCAAGTGTCGGCAAAATTTTTTTGAACCAATTTTCAAATGAGTTAGCATCCATTTCTTCGTGATAGTCTCCAGTTTTTTTGGATTCAAATGCCCACAATGCTTCAGGAACAAATCCATCTACGCTACCTATGTGACAAATGATCAGGCGTTTTCCCTTGCCTGAAAGTAATTAGTTATTTTACTTCTCAGCGAGCGCACTAAATGACGAAATTAAGCAACTTACTCTTTTTAGGTTAGTGTAGGATAGGGTCTTAGATTAGTTTTTGGGTGAAGGAAATACTCAGAAACTTGAATGAGATAGCAAAACTGAGTTCGGAGCTTCCAAATCATTGATTCGATCAGAAAATGAATTATCTGCATCCAAAAAAGTTCATACACTTCGAAACTTACCTGCAGGATTTTTCAATCCCGTCGAAAGGCCATCTAAAAAAGCCTGCCTTGAGGACCTCACAGATCTGTCTACCCAAACCTTTCCCTGCGTATGCCCCGCGTTCACCCATGCTTCGTCTAAATAATAAATTTTTCTTCCTTCAGCGCGGAATTGCCTAATTTTTCTAAGGTATTCTCTCCTCCAGATAACAATTTCCTCCTTTTCTATCAATAAACTATTCCTTCCTCTTTTCAAAAATCGAAAGTCTAGTTCTTTCAACAGCTTATGGAACGTAGATCTTTTAAAATTTGGCAGGTCCTCATCATCATTCACTTGCTTCAATATTTTATCTATTGTAGGTATTTCATTCCTGAAGAAAAAGTGATGTACTTTTCTTCTAATGGCACTTTTGTCAAAGTCATCTATTTTTTCGATGATTTTTTTTCTCGCTGGATATGTTTTTGGCTCAGATAGTGAGTGATTTTGTCTATATTCCTTCAAGATTTTGTAAACACTTGATCGACCTACTCCAGAAATTTCAGCAAAATTACATACGATATTTTCTATAGCCAATCCACTATTCTCTTGCATCTGGTTCTTGTAGATATTTAGAATAATTTGTTTTTCACCTGCGCTAAGATGAAGCTTTTTAGCCCTTTTTCTGGGTGGCGTTAAGCTGATTTCAACCACTTCATCAGCTGTATCTGTGTCAGACATTTTAGACTAATATTAAATTTCCGCAAGAAAAATCAAGTCAAGACGTGCATAAAACGTTCGCGCTCATAAACGGGTATCCGTAACTGATTACAATCCTGTGCGTGGTGACGAACCATCAACGTGACGCTGAGAGTTCCCTCTACTATGCAGCGTTGCCAGGCTTAATGTCACAATGATCATGTTTTATTGGGAAAATTGTCAGACATCGCCGAATGTTGAACAGAAACTTTACAAGAAGTCTAACCTTGAAATGTGAGGCTACAAATCGATATTCTTATAGGGGGGAAGGGTAGGGAGCTGTTATGGTTCCTATTAACCTTGGTGAAAGTTGGAAACGGTAATATCATATATGGCATACATTCGGTTGAAGGTGTGTGCACGGAAAATAGATTGCGGATAGGATTTTAATAGATAAATCTGCACAAAAAAACACAAAAGGAGATTTTTGTATTTCCCTGAAGAATATCTCAAGGTTATTTCAGATGTACTCATCGAAACTTTATGGAAGGATTATCGAAACCTTATTTTCAATTGCGATAGGGCCAGATACCTCGACATCGCATTAATGTGAAAAATAAGACAATAGAAAAAAATTCCCTCACTGATGCTATCTCTTAGGAAAAATTTAACTATAAAGATTGCACAAAAATTTTCTTCACCTTTTTGAGCTTGTTTTCGCATCTCCGTATATGCCGTTCATAATTTGCTGCAGATCAAATTGGAATATACCTTTGTGATGCCATTTATTGTTATATAATGTCCTTTAACACAGTTATTGCACGTATTGCACCAACAGATTGATTTGTGATCCATGCGAATGTGATCAACAACTCTGGCGAAAACTCGCCGAGCGTGGCAACCGTGCGACTTTGTCTGGAGGCTCGTCGCTACAAGCCAATCAGGAAGAGGCCGACAGAGCGCCATGGCTACCGATCACGCGTTGATCACGAATCAACCACTGTTTACGATTACTTTGTAGCTTCGTTAGATACACTTTAGTTGTAAGTATGACTTTACGGCAGCGGATAATGTGGTGCTTGAGCGATAGAACGAATACTGCTTGCAAAAATATATCGCTATACCTTGTCATCATCACAAGTCAAAGGTATTGGCAATTTTGAATAATAGACTGAACCTTCTCAGATAAACATGCATAATCTATTATTTGAACCCAACTTGGTTTCTGAGCAGAACCCCAGTACCACTTAACATCTTTCTTTAGTGAACGGTACAATGTATTTGAAATCGTACTAATACTTTTACAGAATTTCGCATAATAGTTAACCAAGAAACGATTTAAGTTCATTGACGTTGGGAGATGGTCGTGCGCTTTTCATTGCCCCAACTTTTTCTGACGATCAATTGGTAAAACCCAAATACTCAATGTCAGTTAAAAAAAACACTTATCCAGCCTTACAAGCAATCCAACTTTCTGCAACTTCTCAAAAAGATTACAGGTACGTTTGGAGTATCATATAGAAAACGGCTACATTATTTAAACCAGGAAAAGTTTGTTTTCAATGAGTTTTTGGAATATGCTAGATGCAGATTCCACTCTGTAAGGTAAACAAATACTTAATAATACTGATTGTTACATATGCTTTTGGCTTGTGAAAAATCTATTTTACCGAAAAACTCACGTTTGCTTAGGGCAACAAATAAATTGTCAATTTTTGGTACGAGGTGTTGGGTCAAATAGACCAAATACATGGCATAGGAAACGTCGATACGCACTCAAGGATGGTATAAATATATTTTTTCACAGAAAAGCAATATAACAAATGATAAATACAAACTCAAAATACGAAACATTGCAATAGATACCTAATAGATCACTTTCAAGATATTCTGACACACTGTAGAAAGGCTTATTCAGGAATTTGCTAATCAGCGTCTTTTTGAACACGCCCATATCATTGAACTTTTAATATAATTTTATAGTTTATTAAACAGTTTTAAGCCTAGACAATTGGGACTTTCTTTAAAATTGGACGAATTAGGTGCGGGTATGGTGATATCAGTATTGTTAGGAATGCTTTAACTATAAAGATCCGAGTTGACTGGAAAGTTTCAACTTGACCTGTAAAAGATAAGTGTATGATACATTTTAGTACTGTATATCTTTTATCGCTTTTGCTCAGTTAGCTTCAGGGTGCATTGGTTAGAGGCTCCACGTAATTTATCTTAATTTAAAGAAAATCAAATATAACGGCTGGTGCGTCGAAATAGCATATAACGACTAGAATCAATTTATTTACCGCTACAGCGTTTTATACATATACCATAGCTCAATGGAATGGAAAAAATATTACTGGTTTCTTAGTTTAAGGAGTAGTAGCAGTAAAGTGTAGTTCAAAGAAATTGTCCCGTTTCTTTAAGGTAGGGCTAGTGAAACTGATACCCATTCAGATTTTTAGGTTCGCATTATTTAGGCAAACCATGGACTTTATTTATCCAACAAAAACTGTTAGCAGCAGAGAGAATGCACTTTGTGATTAAATTGGCTTTTTGTGGTGGACACAGTAGCGCTCTAACGTTACTTTTGTCTTTGTTCATTAACACTGAAGCGTCTTGAACTTTCGGTTTCTTTTACTGCTATCTTTAATCTTATAATACTTGTTCAGTCGCCCGTGAAGACCAAAACATTTTATTACCGTTTTTGATCTATTTGAAGTGTCATTTAGAAGAAGTCACAAGAAAACTGCTGATTCTTTTTCCTTTTCAAATAGGACTCATTATATAGCGCTTTTCAAAAAGCATTCCTCATACAGTTGAACGAGTCAAGTTAGCAAGCTGGAATTTGAGGCGATGAAATTTTCGATTGAATGCTACATTTTAATGTTAAAATAACTGTTAAAAATTGTACTGAGCACCATTTCTATAAGTAGATTAAAGGGCTGGGCGATACCTCATTTTGAAGCTGCGAATCAGCGCCTTATAACTCAAGCTGTCAAAGTTGAGAACTGAATCACCTCATAACTTGGCATTTAATCGCCAAACGGCATATTCTAACAATCTTCATATTTGGCAGTATCTATCTGAATGTATAGAAAGTATGGGACATTCTGTTCAAAAAAATTGACATTTTGTCATTTTTTTTAAATGGAATGTTTCATATTTTATTACACGTTGGGGTGCTTTGGCAGTCTACCAGACCTTGATTGTCGAGATAACTCTATACTCTAGGGCTATAAAGGCAAGGAGCGTGAAAATGAGGTATCACGTGACCTTCCATTCCATTTAAAGAACATAGGTGGCGCCCAGCCGTTATCTTCAAATTTTCAGCTATAACCTTTACGTTAAAATATAATGCTCACGCAACAATTTTATCACCCCCGTTTATTGCAGCTTGCTACTTGACCTATTCAAAAAATAAAGGGGGGGGGGGCTGTTGATGATGTTTGAACGTCATTTTGCAGATACTGTATTTTCAGGAAGAAGATAACAAATGCAAAAAACCAAGAAATTCGTTATGAGCTAGTTGTCGCATAGGGAATCTGTCGCCGAATTTAATCGTTGTTAATTCTGTGGTATTGTCATTTGAAAACTTCCCACCATGGATTTATCGAAAACCACTAATTAAAAGAAAAAACGCCGAGACACGTTAAAAGATTTGTCAAGGAGGGCAACTTTTTAACCAAAGACTACTTCACCCCCTTTCACCCAGGGTCATTCCCTTAAAAATCTTAAATGACGACAGGTATCGAGTAATAGCTTATTTGAAAGGTATTTCGAAGTCCTTTGCTTTGACGTTCGATTCGTTTTCGAGAAAATTAGAAAAAATGTTTAATTTGTTCAGATAGAAAACAAAAACACACGAAAATATCACTTTTTATTTCAATAAGAGCTTAAAATGTTGCCCGTTAGGGTTTGCCAAATCTACAATTCGTTTGTAATTTGAAACGGAAACTACCAACATAAACAGCAATTCGGAAGATGAGACGTGGCAACAACCAAATAACAACCTGAATTTTTCCCCCATTCTTTTCATCAACGCAGATGTCCTCGGCGAACTGTATTTATTATTATACCTGTTTAGTTATTTGTTGCTAAGGGAAAGAATTTAATTTTTTGTCAGTTACCTTTTTGTCAATCTTGGGGTAGTGAAAATCAATTTACTGATTCCGATTTTACTTCCAGAATGGTTTACATGTAGACCTTCCTTAATTTGTTTTAAAATAATTGAAAAACACATTTTGGAAAAATAACAGTATTACAAGCACCTATTCCTAGAAATTCCTAAAAATTGCAGAGGTATTGGCATACATACGTCTGCACAAAATATAAACTTTTCAATGTAGCTAAAACCAATTCCTTTTTTAAAATAAAATGACATTCAAGCCTTGCAAATCCCTTAACTTCTCAAAGAAGCCTTAGAATCTGGATACTAGCGATTTTGTGAAGTCAAAAACAATTTCCCCAAATGAGGCACCAACCTTTATCCACATCCAGTATACTGGGTGTCCAATAAGAACCACGACAAGCTTAAGGAGAGGGTAGGCTCTGGATTGATCTCCCAAATAACAAAAACTTACCTACATAAAAGTGTCACCGTTTTTGAGATATTGCATTTTTACTTGAATTTAAAAAAAACGAACCTTTTCAAATTTAAAAAAAAATTCAATATTTGAAAAACGGTGACACTTTCATATAGGTAAGTTTTTGTTATTTGGGCGATCAGTCCAAAGCCTACCTTCTTCTTAAGTTTGTCGTGGTACTTATAATGCTTATTAAGGAAAATTAGTAGTGATACCATTTATTTATATCGTACGTATGTGCTATACAAAAGAAACAGTGAACAAGTCATCATGATACAATCATTGTCGTATTATCTGTTCCACATCAAAAGTGGAGAAAACTCCCCTAAACCAGACCCCTCTACTTTGAAACCACGTTTCTGGCTCAACCATAATGAGAAAAGCTTATAGAAAGAAATGGATTCCATCTAGAATGGCTAAGACTATTGACACGATTCGGAAAAAAGGTTGGTCTGAAAGAAGGCATATGGAACGGATAAAGAAGAGCCCTACTGCGATTTTTATCGAAAAGGACTTAAGAGCCGTGTACCTATGTACCTTTGACAAGAATAACATTTTAATAAGTTACTTGAAATTTTTAGTGGGGGGTCGGGTTTTGGAGCCTATTTTTCAAATCAAGGTATTAATGGTCCCTGCAAATTACGTTTTATAATACTTAAGTTTTAAAAATTTGTAAGTGTAAAATGAATAATGCATAACATCATGGAGTAAACGTAAACGCTTCTAAAACAAGCTCTTAAATATTCTTTATATTCCTTTGAATCAGCAACACGAAGAAGGGCATTCTCCACCAAATAGTCAAGAGTTATATTCAGAACCGCAAATCAGTTCCTTGTGTGTTTTTCTTAATCCACTCATCGAACTTCCTTGACATTTCTTCACTCATATAGTTCTTCCAGTCCCCCACCTGTCCTTTTCTCAAAAAATGAATTCCTGTCTTATCGAATGAATGTTCACCATGCTTCTTATCGGTGAGCGCCTCAACATTGCAGCCTTTATTTTTCCTCATACACTCAAAACTCAAGTAGCTGTCAATCATGTCTACCTCGGTGTCACTCAGTGTCTTGCCAAGGAAATCTGCTATGTTCCTGACTGTCTTCTTGGCATCTTTTTTCATATCTTCATACCTGATGATGAGGATGTTGCCTTCATGTCGTTTATTCCAGGCTTCAAAACAGTGATTGAAAAAACTTCCATATGCAATCGCGTCGTTGAGAAACATCTCACAGAAGGTGTCAAAGTCAACATAAAAATCATGGAGCAGCTGACTGTGAAAGTAGTATGAAACGCAGACATCCTTCGGATTCCTCATTGTGTATATGATCTGCAAAAAAGGACTGCATGGTTATGTCGTTTGACATAGACGAACTCGACGCTATATACATAAAAATATATATCAATATCGGACAGAGTGTCCTATCTCACAGTAGTTTTGTCTTTAAGATAGTACGATGAGTATCACCTAGGTACCTAGTTGATCATAATTGCAACCTTGGAATGCTGCCCTTTGTCCAACAATACCAAGCATTGACGTGACATATATTCCAACGGCTGCTAAAGTGAGCTAGCATACATACAGGGTATCCTGTAAGTAGTACGACAAAAAAATGGAGAAGATAGGCGGAAGGCAGATCTACAGCAAACCAAAAAATGACCCTAGTAAAAGTTTCACTGATTTTGAGATATTAATTTTTTTTGTCCGGTTCGAAAAATTTCCTCGTTTGATCTACCTTTTGTTGCTGATTAAGCAGGTTATTTATCGCAGTACTTATCAATAGCAGTCTAGTATAGTTGTATTTCATTGCTGAATACCAAAGTTGTGTAAAATAGTTTTCTAAAATAAAAATTACTAAGAGGAAATCAGTTTGTCAAGTTTACCTGCTTGTATTTTATCGAAAATGATATTGCAAATGGCAGACCAACTATCTGAGAATATTTTGCAAATAAAATCAAACAGATATCCCGTTAATTCTAGGCACAGCAACAAAAGATGGAATAAAAAAAGAGAGACAAAAAAGTTAATATCTCAAAAACAGTGAAACTTTTACTATGGTCATTTTTTGGTATATTGTAGATCTGCCCTTCGCCAGTCGCCCCTACTTTTTTGTCGTACTATTTACCGGATTCATGGATTCAGTGTATCATATAATCCTTAATGCTGTCTACAAATTTTCTAGGTACATCAAATAACATTCAGTTCCTAATAGATCTAAGGAAGAACCACTCAAACTTTTTAATGCTTGAATTTATTTATTCCTATTCAATGCTCTTCACTACATCTTTATCCTGTTTTTTATAAATAAATCTTATTTTGTCGTGAAATTCAACGCTACCTGTTCGCTATCGTTGCGAGTCTAGACAGGCTACCACAAAGAACTTGTCCGTTTGCTACGTTTTATGTATACAGAGATTTTCAGAGAACCCCCTATAAATATATTTTTTGGTCGGTGATGATGAAATTGATGCTGGATACTATATTCTATAGTAAAGATAATACTTGAAGATTCCAAAATGGCGGCTGAGCGCCATCTTGCAGCATCTTTTTTAAATGATGTGAGGAGTCATGTGATACCTCATTTTTAAACTGCTTAGCTGTACTTCTTAATCCTAGAATAGGAATTTACTTTCAAAATCTTGGACTGGCGGGTCGTAAAAGTTAAGCGACTTTGTATATACCGCTTATAACTCAATAGCTACTCCTCAAAACGTTATATATAGTATGTCCCATTAACGTTCTGCTTCCAGAAGAATCTATATGAATGCACAATAAAATGTGAGATACTCAGTTTAGAAGAAATTTACAGATTTGGACATTTTTTTAAGTGGATTATTCAGATTCAGATAGACACTTTCTGGTTTTTGAGTAGTAGACTGCGCAAAAACACTCACCTTTAACAGCGTGCAAGTTCGCCTTTTCAAGAGATGATAACTCTACGTTCTAGGATTGAGCACTCGTAAGTAACTCAAAACGGGGTATGACGTTACCCACTATGCTATATAAAATGTTCCAACATAGAGCTCAGCCGCTGTCTTGAAATTTTCGACTGCCATGATTAAGCTAAAATGTAGGATTCGTGCACCACACACATCGCCCCGAATTTCAGCCTGTTCAATTGCCGCATGCAAAGATAAGTAGCAGAGAGGTGAGGGGAGCCTTTTTGAAAACCACTGTATAGGACCTTTATTAAACTTGAGGCTAAGTATTAAGCTTGAACCATACCGGAACTCTGTCGATAACTAAATATTCGTTCATTGCCTCTATAAATTTTATAGCAAAATAGGTACAGCTTATTAAAAGGAGAATCCAAAAAATAACGGTACATTATTCCAATTGAGAATAACTACATTTTGTGCTTTTAAACATGTACGAATTCAAAAAATTCTTACTTGAGGACAGATTGATTCATGTAGACATTTGGACGAAAAGGTCACTGCTCTACAATTTTTTTGTCTCAGTATTAAAACGTATTCAAACGATAACATTTCATAACGGCATTTCGTCTCTGACCTAGCAAACCTCAAATTTCTTCCAAAATCTGCTACTCATCCTTCAGTTTTTACGACCTTGATAGAAGTTTTCGAAAAATCCAGAAAGAGATCCTCTTTTATATGAACATATATCGTCACCTAATGACGAAAAAGTAATAAAGTAAAGTGACCTAATTTGGCATTCCTCTGAAAGGCAGTGCGGGTTCGAGTCCCGTCCCAAGAGGAGTTTTTCTCTTGGCTATGGATGTGGTGATTGTTCGTAGGTGGTAGACCGTCTCTGACTGTCGAACGCAGAGGTACCCCCAGCGGATCTCCGTGAGGCGTTCCCCCTTTCCCCTGAATCCCCCTATAGCTCCACGGTATCCCATGGGTGTTTAGGCCTTAGGCCTTCATGGTGATTGGAGTATAAAAAAAGGTGTTACAAATGTCGTTACAAAGCTATTTCAGATAGAATCAAGCTAACAGGAATCGATGGGCCTAAAGAAAAATCAGATAACTTTTTCAAATGACATTCTCTTACCTCTCTAAACCAATGCAACTACAGACCACATAAATACCGTGTGTACAACGAAATAAAGTATTTTTGTTATTAAGGATTGTTATACCAGCGTATTCGTGGCCAAAGTTTTTTTTCTTCTTCAATTCCACTAAAAAAATGATCCTATAGTTCTTTGCTGAATGATTACCGATGAATTAATGACCCTCACATGGTACATGTGTTTGATATTATTTTGCAGCCGCATGGGGGATGGGGAGCTTACGTAAACCAACCGATCACTTAGTTTTTTGTTGTTCAAAAAATGAGCAACTTATCTCTTCTGGAATTTCAGACGTAGACTGAGAGGTATACAACTCACCTTTGGTTTTACTTTGTCGAGCTGGGTTGGCAGAAGTTCTAATGGGAGATGAGTCTTTATAGCCCTTGGTGATGGGAGATTGGCTACGTAATCTACCGAGTTGGTGAAATCATCACCAAATAGGCTCGTGAATTCAAATAAAACCACGGACGCCCTGAAACAGGTACTTTTAGTAGCAGATCGTTTGTTTACTATTATGGATATTAGTAAATTTCTCCGAAATAATTGTAGGGGCTTTTTGTGAGAAAACTTTTTATTTGACAACAAAGAATGAGCATACGTGTTTTTTGGGATTCAATCGAAACGAAAAAACTTTTCATATAAGATTTTCCAAGTTTTGTTACTTGTTGGTAATGCGACGATAATTCCACGCAACTACTTGATATTGTTCAAATCCATAGGATTTATTCTTCTAAATAGCAACAACAAAAATGGAGTATATTGGTCAAGTAGTTTTCTGAGAATTTCTTATTGCTTATCCCAAAACACCTGTTTTCCGGCCATCACTACTACTTTATTGAGCAATATACAGGGTTTAAATGAGCATTTAATGAAAAATACAGGTGTTTACCTTGCCGATATGAATCACTAACCATTCCGAAAGATAAATGTAATTTTTATGCAAAAAGGGTTACGTTTTTTTTCTTCTAAACAAACTCAAACATTTTGTATTTGTGAGTAATTGAACAAATGCACTACAATATTCGAAAAACATACGTTACTATACACATTTTAAAATAAAGCAGGTATGTCTATTATCTTTGTTGCAAATTACACACAAATACGAAATGTTTGAGTTTATTTAGATGAAAAAACCAAACCCATTCGTTTTGCATAAAAATAAAATTTCTCTTCCGGAAGGGTTTGCGATTCATATCGGCAAGGCAAACTACTAGTGTATTTTGAACTAATCTCGCATATTGCTCAATAAACTAGTAGTGATGTCCGGAAAACAGGTGGTTTGGAATAAACAATTAGAAATTCTCAAAAACTACTAGACCAATCTACTCCAATTTTGTTATGGTTATTTAGAAGTACGAATTTGAAGAATTTCAAGCATCTGCGACAAACCATCGTCGCATCACTAACAAAATCCAAAAGCTGCAGTTTGTCTCGGTTTTCGGCAATAACTTTTAGTCGGATCTTTTTGCGGTTGTCTCGTTTTGAGGTCTCATAAATACCTAAAAATCTTACAAAACAGTTTTTTCGTTCCTGCAAACACTTTCGATTGAATCCCAACAAACACGTATTCTCATTCTTTGTTGTAGAATAAAGAGTTTCCCCACAAAAATTGATGTACCCATTTTATGCGTCCATGTTTGAAATACCACCTTGAATAACTAGCTGCAATAAAACCAGACTTTACAATTATTTCGCAAACCTGGGGTATTTTTGTCTAATATGATCAGACCATATAGTTTATTCACTGAATCAAAGCAGTTACGTCACAACGTCAAATAACGACAGTGACGCACATGGTTTCCACACTATTAAAACTATTAGATTCTAGGACGTTTCACAAAATCTTCTTTATGTCTTCCATGCCTTACCGCGATCAACATTACGGTGCGTATGTTTTGTAAGCACTAGAGCTAGTACCTATAAACTCTATTTACTACCTAATACCTCTCTTACGGACTGTAAAGACAATAATAGAGCTCCATCTCGTTCGGTCTTAAAATATTTCGTCAAAGGAATGAGGAGTTTCGGCATTTTAGCAAAATGTTTAAAGGGACACCACAAAGTTTTGAAAAAATCTGTTTTTATAAAATAACAATGCAAATATTTAGGCCAAAAGAACGAAACTAAATCACAAATAAACAACAGCCGTTGGCGTAATTACCTGACAAGTTTTGCACAACACATTAAATAGTTACCAACATAAATGCACCCGGGAAATTCAAACTATACCTACCAATTTAGGATCTATTTTTCATTAAGGTTGGCATTCAAAGTTACTAAATATGACACAATTGCTTTGTTTCAGTGAATAAACTATAATAACTTACTCTATGAGTGGAGCCCTGACTTGTTGCAAAACTCTTCGGGACCCCTCGAAGTCCAGGTTATTTTGGATGAGCCATATCATTTCTTGGCACCACGTAGAACCTGTCGAGGAAAAAGTAGTTTTTTTTAACAAACTATATATACTGGAACTTGATAATGACAACAATAATCTATATTTCAAATTGTACAATGACATTACAGAAATTGTATAGCACTACAAAATGAAATGTCACGTCACTGTCACCGTAACTATAGTAGTTTACCTCAGACTTTTCTCTTGTTATATGGTTATATATCTTAAAACAGCTACAATCTGAAATTATTACAACTCGCATAGAACCCGTCTATGGTATAAGACTCTGACTGTACTAGCAATTGCTTAGTCGTCTTTTCAAATTTATGATCATACTCAGGCATATATTCTAAAATCTATAGAATATTAACTTATTCTCCGCTCTTAGATTGCAAAACACCATTGTTTGGAATAGGATGGCCCTCCAGTATTCGATAACGTTCTTTTCATGTCTTTTGACAGGCAAACGTATTCGTGAAACCGAAAAGCTAAATTTTGGTCAACTACCAATTGTGCTTCTCGCAAGTAATACAGGTATGCATGGATAAAGTTTTCTGGAACTGAATAGTACTGCCAGCGATTTCATAATGCTGATTAATGGAAAAATACCGAAAAAACATATCCGCAAGGTTTTCCGAAATGGTAACAGCTATTGACAAAAGTGTTTTGGTTTGGGGAGCTAGGCCAATTTTTTATTTCTTGTGCTTGTCATATCCGAAGCCAAAACTTAACACCGAACAGAGAAAGATGTACTTCGAGAAAATTCTTCTGCTAAGAAAAATGTATTGATAAACAAATTTGATCACCCTTCTTCCACTTGGCCCCACAAAACAGTTTGTCAAAGTACTGTCAAGAGTTTGTATCGCTTTCAGGTCCAAGACTTAAAGAACTTTTCGTCATGAAGAAGCAACTTCGGTGATAGATGAAGCAAATGCCATATTTGAATCAATGATCCCGACATTTGAAATCAAACTCAAATGGAAAAGGTCAATTTTTCCCAGATTGTAACTGTTACAAAAATGTTCGATCATAAGTTAGAAAGATTCTGTTATGTTTTATAATATCTCCACCACAAAAGTTTATGGAATGTAGTTTCATCAGTATAACTACCTGTCGCTTAGTCGGTCGGTCTGTCTGTTGGCGTTTTTGACGTTTTCAAAAATGCGCATTTTCGGAAACGACATGGAATTTATAATAGATGGTGCTACTTTACTTGCAACGTTGGTTCTGTAGCGGCGAGGATACATGCTAATAATGCAAAAAACCTATAGGGCCATTCTGTGCTTCATTTAGTGCGTCGTAGGTTTTAAAAAATCCCAAACCTTTATTTTGCATGGTTTGGATTCCTTAGACATTCCAGAACGCAGCCCAGCTAATTTTTAAACGATGGACCGAATCCTTCAGAACGTCAAAAGTGTCTGTAGTACAAAATATTCAATAAATATCGATGTGCGACTCTGCATGTTATCAACAAAGTCCGAAGGAACTTTTTCCGTGCTTATAAAGTATAATTATTTGTGAAGGTCCAAAATGATAAATATTATTAATCAGCGGTTTTCCCGGAGAAGCAACTTTAAAATAGAAGCAAAGCGCTTACCCGTTTTTGGATAACTAACCAACCAGACGTCATCTTTCCTAATAGGAGCATCTAGAATCCTCCCAACGTAGTTTTCAAAAAAGCCTGGCAGCACGACCTTTCCAGGATGGAATTCCCACAGAGAATTGCCTTCACCTAACTGGTTTTCGTAGATCGCCTTGTAACGATCATCGAGCTGATGCCTAGACACTCTCATGATACCGACTGCATCGCGAAATTGCAAACATTTCACTTTCATCCGGCACAGTTATACTTTCGTTGCATCTGTTACGTATACGGAAGCTGCTAGTTTTAGTTAGGTAACCCTAGCATGGTCAATAATATTTACGTTTTTCTGTTTCTCAAGCTGAGGCTCTTCAATGTAAGAGTGTCTGGATGTTCGTAGGGGAAATTAATCTGATTATTTTTCCTGTTGTTCTGTTCTACAAATTCTGTGAATTTTGATTATGTTGGAAGTAAGTTAAATCCGCACGGCGGCTGAACCCTTGTATCATTTACTCAAGGTATGCCGTGTACTAAAGCTGAATCGAGTTCTACATCTTGCACCAAACAATCTTGTTGTGCTCTGTGCCGTGAGCTACACGAGCACTTGGCTAATTAAAATTAAATTCAATGACAGAAGTGCAGTCATCGAAAAATGTCAAACTCAAGAAGAAGAAGTAACAAAACTTAGCCGAACTCAAAACTGTGTAATGATCAAGCAATTACCATTTTCGTACACATATGTCAGGACCTTCGTTTGGCTACAATAAAGGTGTGGTAAAATAATGGTGAATCTTTATTTCTCATGGGGTTATGCAAAGATGTTTAGTACAACAAAAAGACAAAATAAAGTTCGTGAGTATTCTTACAAAAGAACTCAGGTTTACGGAAGCCAAAGGCTACTGGGCATCGAGTCAACAGAAGCAAGCGCGAACTGCTAATAATAATAAGATAAGAATGTGTAATATTAAGCATTGTCTCGATCATACGAATTACGGCACTGCTATGATGATGATCTAATATGTAGAGTTGCTTAGGTTTGCACTTTTCAATTCCTTTGTTCTAGCGTAGGTTATAAGTAAGAGATACATGTAAACCAAGGTGACCAGTACTCATTCGTCTTCTGTTAAATAAAGTCGCTTTTTTAAAAAGTCGTTCGTTGTTTGCACATTCTTAATTGGCGCTGCGAACAGGATATCGGCGTACCGAATCGATAATCGGCGGTATTGATTCACGAGTATCGCTCAATCGAGACCGAAAAAGTGCAAAAAATCGTCCGGTGTGTTCGGGTACGATTTCAATCGTTTTGACGTCGATCACAAAGAACTTCGAAGGCTACACCGAGCAGGCACATCACCATCGAAGTACCAGGCCGAAATACTTGCTAAGTATTTTGGGAGCAGGCAACGACACTTGAGAAAACGACAGGAACTGACAGGAGCGAGGTGCTGGATCCACGGCAGGCAAGCTGTCAACCAGGAGGAGCTGTATTGGCCCAAGGAGGTATCTCAGATCTCTCCAAATGAAGCTGCTAGTGCCCAGTGTAGCGTAAGAAACAACATTTACAATTTTTGCTGTACTCAGTGATTTTTCCATTTATTTCTCGAAACTTTTTCGCCCTCTATTGCTTTACATTTATATATACTCGTAAAAGTTATCTATAAGTAAACTTATTTAGTGACTTTAATTGCATATATTTAATGTCCGATTCTGAATTTGAATCTGTAGTCGAAAATACACCTGTTAGACAAGTTATTTTGACACCCTCACGTCTTAATTTTAATCAGTCAACCATGTCTCTTCAAGATTTACAAATTAAATTCAATGTAGCTAAGTATATGGTACCAGAATATCATGGAGGTCACAGAGATCTAATTTATTTTTTGGATAATTCAGAAAAGTTTATTGCAGAATTTGTTAATACACCTTTTGTTTCGTATGCTTTCCAATACGTTATTTCTCAGCTGAAAAGCGAAGTAACAGATTTAGTGCATCTAACTAGTCCGAGAACCTGGCCAGATTTAAAATCATTATTATTATCCAAATATAAAGATCCTAGAAATGAAGAAACTCTTCTCACCGCCTTATATACGTCAGTTCAGAAACCTAACCAAAAATATGAAGATTTTTATCAAGAAATTAAATTTAAGGTACAGAGCCTGAAAGAATTTGCAAATTTAGAATACCATGATAATCCCGATCATATCGCTTTTAAATTGAGAGACTATGATAGACAGTCTTTGAGCTCCTTTATCTCTGGTTTGAATGAACCATATAGGTCTTATGTAAGACAGCAAAATCCTACTACAATTGATTCTTGTGTTCAATATTGTCGTGATTATGATAATTTGCAAATGCAAGTTGATTACAAAAATTTCTTAAGAACGAGCCTATATAAACGACAACAGCCTCAGTCTCAGAATAAAGTACAAGCTTCAAATCAAAATTTCCAAAGGTCTAATTTTAATTTTTCTCAAAAGCCCAATCAGTTTAGAGCCCAAAATAGTCAAACTTGGCTAGAGCCACAACAAACCTTCCCTACAGGTCCCACGCAACTACCACCACCTAAACAAAATTTTAAACCTCATTACCCTACAAACATTCAAGCTTTCAGACCACCACAGAATGTTTTTTCCAAAAAACCCATTCCAGGTCAACAAAAAAGTAATCCTATACCTATGTCTGTATCTACAGCACGCACACCGAAACCCCAGCAAAACCCATATCGTCAACAAATGCCCACTAGAGTTAATGCCTTTCAAGTAGGTCCCAAACCAAACCATTATTATGTCGAAGAAATTACTCATCTTGAAAATGAGGAAGAACAAACTTTTGCAGGAACGCCACAATATGAATCTGAGGAATATACCCAAGATTTCGATTCAGACTATATCCCCGATGAATCTTATTTTGAAAACAATGACGAAGAAAATTTTCCTTCGACGAGCCAGTCTCAAAATTTGACTTAGATATAAATAATTATCAAAAAACCCACCTTCCGTATATTTTTTGTTCTCAGTTTAATCTTATCATCTTAATCGATACTGGTGCATCATCCTCCCTGATCAATCCAGAAATTGCTTTTAAATATTTTCCAGATCGTATTTATGATCATCCTTTTGAAATTAATTCATGTACGTCCAATTTTAGAGGTCAATATGCCTGTAAAATTCCCATATTTTCTGAATGGAAGAATAAAACTGAAATTGAATTTTTAATTCTTCCTTGGCATTCACGTTATGACTGCTTATTAGGATTCTATGATTTACAAAAGCTTAATTGCTCTATTGATTTGACTAAACATCAGATTATTACTGATAAATGTAAAATTACTTATAACACTTCCTTTAAGCCAATTCGAGAAAACAATCCAGTTCAGTATAGTTACCCGAAAAAATCATTAATTATCCGAAATTTGGATAATGGTTCTGTTGTTATTCCACCTTTGAAATTCAAAAATTCTGACGAATATTTTCCTGAATGTATTTGTAACGTAGAAAATAATGCTATTCAATATCCAATTGACATAAATCTTCTTGATGTTTCCAACCCATTTTTATCTGAACCTCTTGATGATTTTCTAATTGAAAAAGAATCTCCATTTTCTACTGAAAAATCCAATATACGTGTTGAAAATTTAATTCGTACGTCTCATATGAATATTGAAGAAAAAGGAAAGATTATTAAGCTCTGCAAGCAATTCAAACAGGTATTTTTCAAGCCTAACGAACCATTAACTCTCTGTAATGCCACTGCACACAAAATTAGGTTAAAAAATGAAGACCCAATTTATGTAAAAAATTATCGATATCCTTATCATCTCAAAAAGGAAATCCAAAATCAAGTTTCCAAGTTATTGAATGATGGAATCATTCGACAAAGCAATTCACCCTATCAATCACCCTGCTGGATAGTTCCTAAGAAAATGGATGCATCCGGTGTTAAAAAATATAGGATGGTTATTGATTTCAGAAAACTGAATGAAATAACAATTGAAGATAAATTTCCACTCCCACTAATTGAAGAAATTTTGGAAAATTTAGGCAAAAGCATGTATTTTTCTACTATTGATTTGGCACAAGGGTTCCACCAGATCCCTATGGATCCTGAGTCTATAGAAAAAACGGCTTTTACTGTTGAAAATGGCCACTATGAATATGTCCGTATGCCATTTGGGTTAAAAAATGCCCCTGCTACCTTTCAACGTATGATGAATACTGTATTGTTAGAATATATCAACGTTTTTTGTTTTGTCTATATGGATGATATCATTGTTTTTTCAAAATCCCTAGACGAACACATTTTGCATCTTCGAAAAATATTCCAAAAACTGAATCAGTTTAATTTAAAAATCCAACTGGACAAATCTGAGTTCCTGAGAAAAGATGTTCCATTCTTAGGTCATGTCATCACGCCACAAGGCATACTTCCAAACCCAGATAAAATCAAAGTAATTCAAGAATATCCTCTCCCGACTACGATTAAAGAAATCCAGTCATTTTTAGGCCTTATGAACTATTATCGTAAATTTATTAAAGGATTTGCACAATTGACTAAGCCATTCACAAAATGTTTACGTAAAGATGAAAAAATCAATATCAATAATCCAGATTATATCAATGCATTTAAACTTTGTAAAGAAGCTCTTTGTAACCCACCTATTCTGGCTTATCCTGATTTTTCCAAAAAATTTACATTGACAACTGATTGTAGCAATATAGCCCTATCAGGAGTTCTTAGTCAAAATGATAAGCCTATTGCTTTCCACTCTCGAACATTAAATTCTGCTGAACGCAATTACAGCGTTATTGAAAAAGAACTATTGGCAATAGTTGATTCTTGTAAAAAATTCCGTCCTTATTTATTTGGTCAAAATTTTCTAATCGAATGTGATCACAAGCCCCTAGTTTGGTTGAGTTCTTTATCAGTGCCCAATCAGCGATTGATTAGATGGAAGCTTCAGTTAGAAGAATATAATTTTTCAATTAAATATAAAAAAGGCAAAGACAATGTTGTAGCCGATGCGCTCAGTAGAATTGAAATTAACGCTTTAGAGGATGACGATCTTTTATCCATTTTACCACAAGTAGATTCTGTAGAAGAATTAACAACCCAAGAACTTGATGAAATCTTGAATGAAGATAATTTACCTTTAATTGATTTATTAGATGAAATGCCGTTAGATGAACGACTCAAAATTGTTGAGCAATCTGATGTTACTCGACATTC